AAAGAGACACAAGTTTTATACTGGTTCAGGCAATCAGTGCCCTACGTCCAATCTAGGAGATCGATCTTGTATTCCTTGCACCAAAGTGCCGAGTAGGGGGTAGTAGGGGCTGCCCCAAGTCTCTATGATGAACGGGACGAATCATCGAGACGTTGATCTAAGTGTGGATGCTCAATCCATGTTCGTCTACCTCGTGAGTTCGGACTAAGTATGTTCTAGTTCATGCCCGTGAACGTCCCTAGAAACAGCTCCGTCCTCTCTTTTTATAGTGGGGTGGGGGTGAGCAAGTTAAAAATCACAGAAAAAATTGACGAGACTTGTAGCCAGAGAACAATCGATGGAGTGGTGGGCCTTTCCATTCCGGACCAAAAAATCGGTCACATCCGATCCAGACGATGTATTTTTCCTCGTCAGGGGCCCGACGAGCGACGCGTGCGGTCGAGCAACGAAGTGGCGAGGCTTAGCCGTGCCGAGGGCGAGCCATCGGGGGGCTCGGCGGTGTGAACCCAAGGTTGTCGAGAGACCGAGGTAAATTGTCGAGGCGTGGGTGGAGCGGTTGACCCTGCACACTGATTCCGAGGCTACAGGGATCCGAGCTTAACTTCCCATGCCGCGTTGTCCTCGGAGTAGTTAGAGAAAGACAAAGGCGCGGTATGGACATTTAGTCGTGGGCACGATCTTTGCGCGCGATGGCGTAACTCCTGCGCTTTGTCTTGTTTCGGGCGGCATGGTATCGATGTGATTTGCGTCTCGTCGCCACTCTCTCGTGCACCGAGCTGTCATCCGGATGACGCCGTGGGAGTGGTTGGTCGAGGCGGAGGCGATGGGGTGGTTTGCCGAGCCCGCCTTGAACGAGGTGGAGCGTTGGTAACTCGTCCGAGGCCTTTTGGGCGGGTCTCGGCGAAAGTCGGAGAATCGGTTTTCTGTCCGAGGCCTCTCGGCGAGGCCCCGGGCGAGGCGGGAGTTAGTTATCCATCCGAGGTCTTGGACGTGCCCAGCGTCGCGAAACGGGGGCCTCGGCGGTCAGCGTCGTACTCGGTTTAGGTGGGAATAGTGACGTGTCCACTGGGCACGGTAACCCCCGCACCGCCGAAGGGATGGTAAAAAGAAGATTTGACCGTTGTCCCATCGCCTCTTGTGTACCTCGCCGGTCGTGCTGACGAAGCGGGTGCTTTCGCAGAGGCATTAAATGGACGGGAACCAGCTGCCGGAGGGACGATCGAGGCGGAGGCGACGAGGACACGGGATTTTGCCCGGCCTCGGCGAGGCGAGCGGGATCGGGACCTCCGAGACCTCCACCGGGGCCTCGGGTGAGGCGGAGATTTGGTCCGAGATGATTCTCGAGTGCCTCGGACATCACCGTGAACTGTGACTAAGGAGGCCTCATGGGGGTTTTATGAGTTTTTTCGGCTTTTGCTTATGGTACCTCTTTTTACGGCACCCGACACAAGCCAAATCCAACTGCCACGAAATCGAATCCAGGTAATCCGAAGGCAGTAGATGGGCTATCCCTAAGAAATCATCGCCCAAAGTTTGGTCAATCCATGGGAACTTCAGATCACGGCCAAGAACGAAAATAGACGAACACAGTGAAACAAGAGCAACAAAAATCACAGAAAAAATTGACGAATCCCAGAGGGCACGAGGAGGATTTGGGCCTCCATTCCCACACCAAAAATCACAGAATACACCCACGAATTTTTCAGTTTGGGGGACCTCTCTCAAGAGCCAAGTGAGAAAGAAAACCTAGCCTAAAATGATAAAACGAAAAATGGGAGAGGTGAGGGGGATGGGGGCTCCCTCAATCCTATTTAACAGGACTATTACATAGTTCTAGTTTTGCCCCTATATACAAATGAGTTGAACCGCTAAGGCCAAGGACGTTGTTGTCCAACCCGGTGTAATCTTGATCCGACGGCCACCGCACCTACTCACCAGTAGCTTCGCCTCGACGCGAACTCCCCGATGCCGCCACGTGCGATCCGTCCCTCCTCGGAACCTCCGCCCGGGTTTTGAGGCCCAAACCCGTAAACCGTCCATCCGATGGTTTTGAAACCCAAACCATCAAACCTTCCGCGGGTAGCATACTCCATACGCGTCCCCGCCATCCATCCGAGCATCACGCCGTCCTCGACCGGTCGGCCCTTAAGTCCTCCGAGCCTCGCCGACTCACACGTCCGCCGCCTTGACCCGGTCAACATTTACTCCATGTCTTCTTGCACTTATCGATGTCCCAAGTGTCAGCCACCGCTGCTAGTCATTTGCCTCTGGGTCCCTCGGTCCAAGCCTAATCCGTTCAAACATGAACGTCCTTCTTGATCTTCACCTCGCCGTCGACCACCACATCCGAGCTCCACACCTGCACAACACAAGCCAAAAAACATGTCGCACATATAGCTTTCGTCATGGTAGGGTTAATCACCACTCAACCCACTTCATGGATCACATTAACAATCACTCATCACAAAACGAACACACAAGACGAACACACAAGGTACTTGTCAAACTTGTGTTCGCAGTATCGATCCTCCCAAACATTGGTGCTTTCACCACCACCAATTCAGCGGATAAGCCCGCGCTGCAGAGCCTTACGACCCTCTAAAATAGCACGCCAGGTGTGGGACGAAATCCGTTTGTTCCTGGCTGCCATGAAGTCTCCATTCGGAAAATGTTTTCCTTTAAGCACTCTGGAGCATAGTGTATCTGGCGATGTCATCAGTCGCCATCCTTGCTTTCCAAGCATCGCCAAATTAAACAACTTGATATCTCGGAAGCCCATCCCTCCATGACACTTCTGAAGAGTGAGATCTTGTTTTCCAGTGAATGGCTCGGCTATCTGCCGATCCGCTCCACCAGAAATTGGAGACCGCCGATGTGATTTTCTTTCGAGTCCTGGAGGAGAGCAAAAAACAACTCATTGGGTAAGTCGGAATGGCCTGCGCCACCGACTTAATTAGCACCTCTTTTGCTGCACTACTCAGGAGCTTCTCGCTCCATCCACCGACCAAGCCCCGAACCTTTGCTGGGATCGGTTCAAAAGCTTCGGCGGTGCTGCGCCGCGCTGTGGGCAGCCCCAGGTACTTTTCACACAACGCCTCTGTGAGAATACCGGTCGACTGCTTCATCTCTTCCTTCATGCTATCATCACAGTTCGCGCTGTAAAAAATGGTTGATTTTGCCGTATTCACCATTTGGCCTGATCCAGCCTGATAGGTGTGTAGGATTTCCGCAAGACGCTGCCCACCGCGCTCACTGGCTTGCGTGAACACTAGGCAATCGTCTACAAAAAAGCAAGTGCGAGACCCATGGGGCATGGACACCCACCCGGACACCTTCTGCTAAAAATTGAGGCCCTGAAAATTTCAGCATACACGACAAACCTTCAGCACATAAAAGAAATAAATAGGGGGACATCGGGTCACCTTGACGAATTCCACGAGTAGGGTAGAAGGCATTGGACAGCTGCCCATTCACCCTTACCGAGAACCGTACTGTCTCCACACACCTCATGATCAGATTAACCAGGTTCTCATCGAATCCCATGATGCTACGGAGATAACTCCATTCCACCCTGTCATAGGCTTTGGCCATGTCCAGTTTCACTGCACAAGCTCCTGTTTTGCCTTTCTTCTTTTTCAAGTAGTGGATATGCTCATACGCCACCAACACATTATCAGTGATTAAGCGCCCCGGGACAAAAGCCGACTGCTCGACAGAGATTATCTCATCTAGCACTGCCCTCACCCGGTTAGCAATCACTTTAGAACAAATCCTGTACAAAACATTACAGAGAGCAATTGGTCTAAATTGTGTGAGCTCCTGCGGATTTTTCACCTTCGGGATTAATACGAGGACCGTGTTATTTACCACCGAAGGCATGTCTCCACCATTCAAAAAGCTTAAGATAGCCTGGCAAATATCATTTCCGACAAGACTCCAGTGTTTTTGATAGAAACCTGCGGTGAAGCCATCTGGCCCCGGAGCCTTATTGGGTTTCATCATAAACAGAGCTGTTTTGATTTCAGATTCAGTAAAGGGAGAACTTAAGTATTCATTTTGCAAATCAGTTACCTTTCTTGGAACAAAATTCACTACCTCCTCGGGCCGAGAGTGCTCCTGAGCCGAAAAGAGATGGTGGTTGAACTCAGCAGCCATTCACACTGATCTGTGCAAACCGAGCCATCCTGACGCTTGAGAGCAATGATCTTATTGTTCTTGTTCTCTGCCGCGCTTTCGCGTGAAAAAATCCCGTGTTACGATCGCCCGAGTTGAGCCAATCAACACGAGAGCGTTGTTTTTCCATTACCTCCTCCCTTGCCAGTATTTCAGAGAGGCGACGCACAGTGGCGCGCTCCTCCCTGGATGGTCCAGACCCAAGAGAGCCTCGTCGTACCACTTCAAGTCGTTTTCGGAGTAGTCGTAGCTCCCCGCGTACTGACCCGAACTGGTCTCGCTCCCAAGCTTTGAGGACATCCTTCATGCCATTTAGATTTTCTTGGACAGCTAGCAAGGACGAGCATCCCGTCACCTCTTGTGTTTGCACAATTGCACTAAGTTGCATATTTAATTCTCTCTCTCTCTCTCTCTCTCTCTCTCTCTAAAAAAAAAACCCTCAAAAAAATTTCTAAAAAAGAAGAAATGGACATTTCGATCGATTTGGCAAAAACAAAGCACTCCAAACATTGTAGGTAACATACAAGGACATCTACGCCGGCTCGCAGAAAAAAAAAGGACATCGACGCCGACATCTAAGTTGCATATTTAATTCTTTCTCTCTCTTTTTTTCCTAAAAAATCCCTCAAAAAATTTCTAAAAGAGAAGAAATGGACATTTCGATCGATTTGGCAAAAACAAAGCACTCCTCCCAAACATTGTAGGTAAGGTAACATACAAGGACATCTACGCCGGCTCGCAAAAAAAAAAAGAAAAGGACATCGACGCTGACATTTGCATTCAAATCCTACGATTACAAAGCCAGAGCCAGCTGGAGGCGGCAAAGGCTAGCTTATCTTCGACTGGAACCCGGCGTCGCTGCTGGCCACGGCCGCCAGCAGCTGCACCTGCACGTTGTCGAACGCGTCCTCCTCCTCCTCCTCCCGCTCGCCGACGCCGAGGAAGGCGGTGGCGGTGCCCTGCGGCGGCTCCATCACGGTCCTGCTCGCCTTCATCTGCTCCTCGAACATCTTCTGCAGCTTCTTGCCCTGCTCCTCGATCCTCAGCTGCAGGTTTCTCTGGATCTGCAACACACGCCACCAAAAAAGAAAAAGTTACCAAATGTCACGAACACACATCAGAGCTAGTGTTTGACGCGTAGATCGACACAGCACCTCGAGCTGCTCGTGGAGGCGCCTCTGCACGTCGAGCTGGACGCGTAGTGCTTCAGTGATCTTCATCCCACTGCAAAAGAAAAGGCAAGGGTTGTTGCTACTGTTAGCTAGTGCACATGGTTGCCATTAGGATTCTTGCAATGTCAAAAGGTAGACGACGACGACAGTTACGAACGTGCTGGGGTCGAGATTCTGCACGTCATTTCCGGCGGCTCTTTTCTCCTGTTTCCCTGCAATTCGACAACGGGATGTGTCAGCCGGCGATAGGACTGAATTTGAACACAGTGAGCTCACAATGGCAACATGTGTCAGCCAGGCATGGCATGCAATTGGCCAAACGGGCATGGCCCATGGAATGAATAAAGCTTGGCGTTGACGTGTTCGTGGAATAGTTTGTTGTGGTACTGTACTATTCTAAATTCTTGGTGGATTGGACGGGATTAGATTACCTTCAGACGTCGATGATGCTGGCATGTACTTGGCTATGCGGCATTTCTGAAATCCAAGAGGCGAATATGAAATTGTTAGTTACATTCAACTAGGCCGTCCTACAAATTCGTGTCACACGACAGCATCTGTTTAAATTTGAAATTTTCCATTCCACTGCTGATTAGTTCAGAAAAGTGGCCTTTTTAATTTGCAAAAAAAATCTATGTACCTGAAGGTGGCTCTTGATGTGGTAGATTGTGAGGCCATCAGAGTTCATCAGCTTCAGAATCCCCTTGGGAGTCGGCTCTGCAAGTGTCACGCAACAACAAGAGAAAACTATGACTCTGTGAGTAAGCGAAAGACGTAGACTTCAATTCAAGCAAAGCAGACAGATTAACCAAGAACTCGTGCAGGAAAAGGAGGAAGTTCAAATCAAGATCAAGGGCGCTCACTGTCCGCGCCGCCGAGCTGGTTCACGCAATCGACGAAGCGCTCGTGGAGGTCCTGCGTCCACCGGATCCGCGTCTTGCTCGGCGCGCCTTGCCCCGGCGCGGCGGCGACGTTCACGCTCCCGACGTGGGTTGCCGGCGCACCGATGCTGCAGCTCCTGGACAGCGGGTTCTCCATCGGGCTCTGCTGCATGCCCGCCGGCGCCTCCATCGCCGGGAGAAGCGTGCTCGCTGCAACCTGCTTCAGGGTTTATCCAGACAAGAACGGAAGAACCGCTATCAGAACACGATCATGGTATGCTTAATTAAGAGAACGACAACTCTATCAGTGATCCATTCCCACGCGTTCACTTACATGAGCTGGAAAGGAGTGGGCTTTGGGTTCGCCGCCGGTGCCGCCGAGCAGCCTGCCGGTGGAAGCGTTGCCGAACAGCCCATGCACTCGTTCTTGCTGCTGTTGCTGCTGCCGCCGCTGGAATAGCAGCTCGAGCGACGGAGGCGCCTCCGTGGCGCCGTCGCGCTGCTGCGGCCGGACGTAGTACGTCCTCACCGCAGAGCTGTCGCGGAGCGGCAGCTGGTCGACTGGACGACGGTGGTACAGCTGCTCGGCCTCCGTCGTCGGCCGGGCAAACTGCGGTCTCTTGGCAAACGCTGTCAGCTCCGGGAGCGTCGTTGTCCCGCCGAGAGGGCAGTCGAAGCGCGCCATGCCCATCATCAGCTCCTCGGCGGCGAAAAACGCGGCGGCGTCGGAGCCGACGCAGCGGCCGCCCTGCCCCTGCGTCGCGAGCACCGACCTCGGGGTCGTCGTGGTGTGCTCCTCGTGCACCCAGCCGCCGGCATGAGGCTGCGGAAGGGAGCCCACGAGCCCCGGACCCGGGTGGAAGGAGAGCCCCCCGGCGGCGGCGGTGGCCGGAAATAGCTGCGGGTCACACAGCGGCGATCCGTAGCGGTGGTAGTCGTGCAGCTTAATCTTCTTGGCGTTCATCATCTAGTGATCACGAAGTCTCGGGACTGAACACACAAACAAACAAACAAACAAACAGACGACCACAACCAAGTTGTCAAATTATTTCAAGACGAGCTCGATCGAACGCATCAACGGTTCATCATATATACAGCTTACTTTAGCATCAACATGTGAGACCTGAATTGAAACAGAGGGTTCTACTTCTAGCAACTAATTCGGGCGGCAGCTGAAGCAGGAGAGCAGGATTAGCGCGGCGGGTATGCTTAAATAGGGCCGACGATGCATAGGTTCCACTCCCATCCAATCCAAAAGAATTTGGAAGCTGGGTTCTAATTCTAGTGGCAGAATAGGATCCTGCACCGGTCCATATTATTCCTGGTGGCGTGTCTTGCAGCGTGACGAGAATAATTCGACGGCGGTGAGTGCCTCCGGTGCGCACAGAGAAGAGAGAACTACTGGGAATCGCCGAACAGCCGATGAGCATGCCGCAGCCGCCGGAGGAGGAAGCAGCAAGTGCTAAAATCACAGGATCATTAGCGGTAGATCTAGGATGCTGACTTGACTAGAATAGGATAAACATGTCTTAGAACATGGACTACGAGATCCAAGAGGGAGAGGGGAGCGGAGATACCGATCATCGGAGGGCTTGGTGGAGCTCGAACCATCCATCATGTCGTATAGAGGACGGTGAAGAGGTGGCACTCTAGTGGCGGTGTAGCGGTGAAGTGGCCCAACGGCGACGGCGTCCCATTGATGGTGCTTCCCGTCACTGGCTGCGCCCCTCACTAGATCGGATTGGGTTTGTTGGTGGGTGTGGCAGCTCACGGTGAACCTCGTACTGAGAGCCGCCGACCCCACCTCTCTTTATAGCGCAGTGCGACGGGTCCACCAACCATGTAGGGTTAGACGTCCCCGATCAGTACGCGAGATAAGGCCCAGCTCGGCCGTTGGGCCGAGCCGGAGAGATCAACACTAACAGCAAGAACACGGCAGTGCAAGCAAGTAGGAGGAAGGAATTGTGCAGGCGCATCGGCAGATATGGTTCGAGCAACTTACAGCTTGAAGGCATCACATGTGTGTAGCACTGAAGCAGGCTTCCTGGAAATTGTGTCCCTCGCTCACTCTGTATCAGGAGGAAGGATTGGAATCTGCAGGAGGATTGGAAACGAAGAATGGGTACAGAAAGGGCTCCTGATCATCTATCCCAATTGGAATATGAGGTCCTCCCTGGGCCTCCTGATGGGAGCCAAGCAGCTAGCAACTGACAAAGAATAACAAGATGCAAAGATCATCCACCTGGTATATAAAGTGCAGGCTTCCATGTCAGACACGAGGCTAGGGGACAAACGCAGGCTTTGGTGCTTTCACCCTCTCTTCCTTTTTCCCCTTGGTAGCTTGGCATTGTTCTTACTTATGGCTTCCATTTCTAGCTGGATTGCAAGCATACAAAATTACAGTAAAGATCAGAGGGGGGACATCTCTATGCTGAATCCTCATGCCCTGAGTTGTCCTTTGATATCCCAACAAGAGATGAATAGACACCCATCGTTCCGGTAGGGGCAGGCTATTAGGCTAATCAGGAATCAAACAAAGCTCGGATTTCAACTTTCTTGGATGTGATGTTGAATTGCTCATCCCTTCGTATTTTATTATACTCAAGAGTCGGCATGAAAAGGACATAATAGTAAGTAATGAATAGCTAAACAAATGGATCTTGTTTCTTCGATGAGGGGTGACTAGTTATTTGCTTGTCATTCTTGCTGGGTAACAATCGAACAAAATGGTAATATCGAACCGTGTTTTTTCCAATTGCTACTGAAGACAACGCTGTTTATCATTTTCTTCAGTCGTCTTTTAGAAATGGCTAGTATCTGTTGGTACATATCAAGTGATTCCTCATTGGTCCGTTGAATCAATTAAGTTGGACTGCATCTATATAATGCACATTCCAGGGGATTGTCCATATCCTTTAGAACCAAAACTCTTCCTGGAAACATACATCAGCTTATGGCATTTGCAGTAGCAATCACTTTTCTTGAGAAAAGCTTTCGTCGTTCTCTAACCGATGTTGGATAACAAAGTTCAATCAAATCCACATCAAATCGATCCAATCATTGCTTTACTCCAGCTGGGAATCCACTGGGTGGTGGTCAGTGGTCACTGATCAGCCGTTAGAAATTACTGCAGGTATCTGAGCATATGGGACATTTGGACTGCTCCTGGCGTCTTCAGAATCCAATGATCCGTAAAGAAGCAAGAGAAACCACGGCCGAAAGTGCCGTCCCGGTCGCATCAACGCGCAAATGGTGAAGTATGCACACGCGTAGGTGGTGCATTGCAGTTTAATGCAGAAATACCAAGGATATAGACAGGTTTCAGCTGTTACCGGTTTCTTACTTTTTTACCGGCAACGCAACAAAGGGAAAACCGAGTTAAATCGATCCGATCCAGTCATCGTTTTAGTTTCAATCTGTACAATGGAGAATCCATTGGGGCTGTCACTGACCAGCCGTTAAAAAGAAGAAGTCTCTTCGGAATCTCCATGGTCAGAAACAAGAACTAGAAACCACTGAGAGAGAGAGAGAGAGAGAGAGAGAGAGAGGCTGCCGTCGAGGTCCCTCTGGGATCGATCGCATAGTGAGACTGTCAGTCTCAATTCTGACAGCCAGAAACCAAAAGAAAAAAAGAAAAAAGACCACCTGTGAGCTGGTGCAGTATTTGCAGACGCAGGTATACTCTCTCTCTCTTTTCTTTTCTTTTTTTGTCAATGTATCCGAATGGACGGTGAAACTTATGCAGATATGGGATTTTCAGATTTGCACGCGCAGGCAGGCGTGCCAACGTGGAAAGAATTGGTCAAGAATCTTATCTGGATGCATGTGTGTGTGTATCATAGATATATATCATAGAAATATATCCTTGCAGCTAGGCTTGGTGCTTCGCCGGTTGGTGCTGGGGTAGAAAAGGCAGCAGGGGGGCTGGAGGTGGTGGTGGTCGGCCTCTGAATGCCTGAAGGGCCATTGCAACGGATCACTGCTCGGCTCATCGGCGCTCCCAACTCCACGGTCCAATCCTTTTCTTTTTCAATTCCTCGTCGGATTCGTCCATGGCTCGCCCGCGCAAACGACATGGCAAGCCAGGTGGCGCAGGTGTCGAGTGTCAACCCAACCAAAGTACAAACCCACGATGGCATTCGCATCGCATGGTATCTTGTGTTAGGGACGATGATAGATTAAAAAGAATACAAAAGACTATAAAGCTATCCGTAGTATATGTCACACCCAATTTTAAGGATAAAATTGAATGCACAAAACTCGTGTGTGCCCAGGAATCAATCACACACACAAGCTGACAAATTACATAAAGTATCATCACGGTGTCTCATACATCAGAGTTATAATAAAACTTAGTCTTATACATCACAGCGGAATAATAAAAAGATGATAAAACTCTCGTGGCCGTCTTCACAGGGAAGGTCAACTGGTTGACCACAAGCCTAATAATCCTCCGGGAAATCCTCATACCCGTTGTTATCTGTTACCCATCCGGGATTTTTATCCAAGTAAAGAAAATAAACAAGTGTAAGTACATTCCGTACTTAGCAAGCTAACATGGGGTTATGAAGCTCAAAAGGTTAGACTCTGGTTAACTGCAGTTAGCATTTTTAATAGGTCAAGCTTTTATTCTCAAGTATTATCAAGTTATGCTTAAGCTCCCATTTAATTCCCATAAGAACATAAATCGGAGTCATATGTACCATATATCATCACTAAACAACTTTATAAGATCATCATCAAGTATCCAGTTATTCTGTGAGTTTTCCGGGCCGCTCGTAACCGTGAGCACGGCTGTTATAACAGTTTGTTACCCTCTGCAGAGGTGGTGCACATTCACCGCGAGTCGTGATCCCCATATGACCGGGTTAATTACTCCCATGTCACTACCAAGGTGAGCGGGCAGGGTACACTATGAAGCCATTTCATAGGTTTCCCTAACAAGTTAGGGCCGCTAGGTTTCCTTGGCAGGCAGATGTAGGGACCCCCCTTTACTATGACACAAATCCATCGCGGCTATACTCATAGGAACAGAGGCAGCCCTATACCCAAAGTGGCAAGCCCCATTTGCGCCAAAAAGGTAACCTCTAACCAGCTAGGAAAGGTCCTATTACTGAGCTAAAGTCAGAGCCATATGACTCTCCCGGTTGCACTGTCAGTCCCAGCTTTTGCCGACAGATAAGTCCTTAAGGAGGGCCGGGAGCAACATGAACAAAGATCATTTGCACTTTCGCCCTATGGAACAGTTGTTATAAATCATGTTACTCACTTTGTTCCATAGTATCTTTCATCAACAGGTATATCAAGTTCAGTTAGAGCACTAGCAATCTACCCATATGCATTTAACCCATAGGATACAAGGAACAAGATAAACAATCACTAGGATGTCCTTACGGGTATCAAAATTAGACACATGCAAATGAGTAATTGATTAAAGTGAAATAGGACATCAAGGAAGGCCCATGTTATACTTTCCTTGGTTCACAAACTCGTGCTGTTCCTGCTGGTCGTCGAAGAGTTCTTGGTCTCCAACGTTTTCCTCACCGTCTGAACGCGACCAACACGGCAACATACAACATTCCAAAAGCATTCATGCAAAGCAAACATTCCTATCATTAGAACAGTACACCAACAGTATTGAAAACAAGATAAAATGTTTGTAAAACTAATCTACGTTTTCTCACGATCACGTCAACGCGAAGTTCACTTAAAAAACGGAGCTAAAATGCGATAGTTATGATTAAAACGGGTTTTCCTATAGCCCTATATTTAATTAATTCTAATCATGAAATTAAAAGTTCCAAACTTGTCTAACAGTAGCTCCAACATGTAGCTTATGAAATTACGAAACTAACGCGATTTGAATGGATCAATTCGGAGTTAAAAGCGACAATTCTATAAGCGCTTGATTCGAATGGCATTTCAGAAATCTGAAAGCGTACTTTTGACTTAAGCAGTGAACTTTAC